ATTAAAGCATCCTTATGAAATGGGCTAGTTGGACAGTATCTGTAGCAGCTGTCTTTCTATATGACAGGTTTCTCTGGCCAAATTCTGGCCCTATTTACATCCATCTTCTGCAAGCCCTCTCTTTGACCCCATGTGAATAGTGCATATTGGGAGACATTAACATTTTTTTTAGTCATGTGAACTTTCATTTCTAGGCTGTAATTTTCCTCCCAATGCCTGAAGCCTATGAGAAAATATAATATGCTGGAAAAAACTGTAAGAGTCTGAGAAGGTGAGGCCTGGGATACCCAAACAGTGTCTGTTTAATAAGACAGAGATGTAGTGTGCTCTCCAGGAAAAAGATTAGTGGAGAAGGAGAAAGTCTTTGAAGGAAGTACTTAATGCAGAGTTGCAGTCTAAATGGCGAACAGCATAGTGGGATAGATCAATAAATGGACAGCAAACAACAACAAAAGCACAGATTCACAGAAATATAAGGCAGAAGGCGACCTCGAGAAACTCTCTAATTGCTGTGCACCAAGGCAAAAATAACCTCGCCAGGCTCATTCTTCACTGATGTTTCTTTAACCTACAATTTAAATCCTCCCTTGAAAGACAGAAAAACCTCCATGGTAGGCCTTCCTAGTATTACAAGACCCTTAGGATTAGAATTTCTTTTCTTAAAATCTCCCAGTTGCGCTGCTGCAAATTGTAATTTTTTTCCCTCTTTTTTCCTCTGGTGCATATCATGAATAATTGAGTAAGATGGTGTAACTAGAATGTGTCATGTAGAAATAATGTATTCAGTTACTTTGCCGAAGGGAGAATAATAGTCCTCTCTGGGTGAGTAGAAAGCCACCCCGAGACTCTGATATGTGAGAACCTTTAAGAACACATTTGACCATTTTCTCCCTAATGAAGAAACACATTTGAGATGCTCAAAATAAATATTTGTCTAGCCTCTCAAGCATTCCACTCTTCAAGCCCTGTCTGTCTTCTGCAAAGGTTTTTCACTAAGTAATAATCCATTGGACTCCCCAGTCGTCTGGAGAATTGTGACAAAGCCAGATACTGTTATTATGGGTAAAAAAAAGCCTACTTGTCTCACAGAATCACAGAATGGTTGGGGTTGGAAAGGACCTCTGGAAACCATCTAGTCCAACCTCCCTGCTAAAGCAGGTTTGCCTAGAGCAGGTTGCACAGGATTGCGTCCAGGCAGGTTTTGAATATCTTCAGAGGAAGAGATTCCACAGACTGTCTGGGCAGCCTGTTCCAGTGCTTTGTCACCTTCAAGACATTTTTCCTCATACTCAAGTGAAACTTCCCATGTTTCCAGTCATACCTGTTGCCCCTTGTCCTATCACTGCACATAATTGAAGAAAGTCTGACCCCATCCACTTGACACCTGTCCTTAAAATATTTGTATGCATTGATAAGATCTCCTCCGTCATCTGTTCTCCCAGATAAACAAGCCCATCTCTCTCAGCATTTCTTCATAGAAGAGCTGCTTCAGTCCCCTAATCATCTTCATAGCTATCCACTGGACTCAATCCATGAGTTCCATGTCTTTCTTGTCCTGGGGAACCCAGAACTGGGCACAGTACTCCAGACGTGGCCTCACTAAGGGCAGTAGACAGGTAGGATCACCTGTTGGCTATAATCTTCCTAATGCACCCCAGGATACCATTGGTCTTCGTGGCCTCAAGAGCACACTGCTGGCTCATGGACTGTTTTCCACCAGGCCCCCCAGGTCTTTCTCTGCAGAACTGCTTTTGAGCAGGTCAATCATTAATCCTTAACCTGTACTAGTGAATGGGATTATTCCTCCCTGGGTGCAGGACAGCACTATTGTGATTACTATGCCAATAAAGTGTCCTACCATTTTCACATCCATGACTTCTTTACTCTTGCTACTCATACATGTTTCTGTTAAATTCCTGTCATCTAGTCATTCTTATCATCTTCTTTCTCTGATGGTGTCTGTCATCATCACTTGGATTTGTCTCTTTAAGTTATATTCACCAAGTGAAGCAATAGTGATTCCAAGATTCAGCAGCTGACTCCAAAGGGATAAGACAGGAGGGCTCAGAGAGGACAGGCTATCACAGCAGAAAGATCCACCTTTGCCCCCTAGAAAAAGTTGATTTATTCAAGAGTAACCACAGAAATGTCTGTTAAGATTGGACTAGCTAATAAATACTTGGCGCAGGTTAAAAGCTAAAACTTGGCAAGTGAAAAAGAAAGTGGCTTGAGTTTCCCCCTTGCAAGGCAACAGCAAATGCTGCTGCTCCCAGGAGTCGCAAGGGTTGTCTTCTGCCACCCACGTCTTCTGCTGGGTTTGTGTCACTGCTGCTACTGGGGGAATTAGAGGGACTGGGGTAGCAAGTGCTGCTTCTAGGAGGGACTGTAACTCTCTGGCAGTAACTGCTTGGCAAAGCAAACAACCAAAACAGCTCTGTCAAAGAGCTCTGTGACCACTGCCATTATACAGTCTCACTTCCTCTCCAGCAGTCTGCCTCACTGTGAAACTCCGCCTTGCCTAAACCTAGAGCTCCTCCTATGAGAAGGAGCCCAGTAATGACCTGAGGTCAAGAAAATCATATATCCTAGATGTCATTAACTGAATGGATTCCTTCTGCTGTGATTACAAGGGACAGCTCCATCCGATCTGAATTTTGTTCCTCTATTCCTTGCAGATCTGGATTTTGCTGAGAGATTTCACTAAGTACTTTGTACATCTGCTTTAAACAATCTTCAGGAAATAAATAATTTACAGTTTGTGCTATTCCACTACTATTCTTCATCATAATTTGCCTTTCTGAGTCCCTAGTGGCTGTAGTCATAACTCAAAAGTCCCACTGTAGCAGGCAATGAAGAAATAATCCCTACCTGAAAGAATTTACCATCTAAATATTTTCTCATTGCAATCAGTAGCAAAAGGTGCTGGGAGAAGAGCCTCCTTGCTCTATGGAAGAAAACAGAGGAATAACATAGAAAGCATGAGGAAAGGACAGACCACTACCATTAGTGGGACACCAGGGCAGACCTCCTGTGTCTTGCCATTGTTTCAACTCACTGGCACAATACACAAGTGCTCCATACATTTCAGTAAGATAACCATACCATATTTCTTCCTTAGGTGATCATGTGTGTTAGAGCAGCTGGGACCAGCTCATCACTGTGTGGGTGTAACCCAAAACTGTGTATTCTATAGCCTTCCATGCCATGTCCCAGAAACTGTTAACAATAGACCATTTACAGCAGCTGCCCAGAGCACGCCTGACCTCTCAGGCTATAAGCTGGGTGTTAAGAGGCCTGTGAGACAGAAGGATGCTCCTGTCCTCACACCCACTGTGGAACTCCCTGCCCTGAGGGAGGTACTGGGCGTTCCTACCTGAACCTGAGGATATATAGTCTTGGGGTCTTAGGACTTCTGTACCACTTGTGGGATCCAGAGAAGGATGGGAACTTGGACTGGACTGTGACCATCGCTCTCAACCAGACTGAGACCACCGCTCTGAGACCACCACTCTTGACCGGACTGCGACTACCACTCTCAGCCAGACTGCAACCACTACTCTCGACCAGACTGCAACTGCACTCCCAACCGGACTGCGATCACCACCCTCGACTGGACTGCAACCAGCACTCTCACCAACAAGTTTTCCCTCTCCTTTTACGTTTTGGACTCAGGGGGACCATGTGGGGCTCAGCAGGGAGAGGGTGGCCCAACGAACACTGCTCTGTTCATGCCTCACAGTGCTTGGTTATACATCTGGGTTTTGTGGGTTAAAACCAACTGTTTGTCAGTTTAATTGTATTTATTGTATTATTTTTATTAAATTGTTATTCTGACTTATCATCTCTTTTGCGTTGGGTTCATTTCCCTGCTGGTTTACCTTTAAACCAGCACAATGTGTCATTTCACCCCCTTCTCAAAACTTCCTTCAATTGCCACTGCTCTTCTAAGATTATTTTTTTTCACATTTCATCCTTTTTGCAGTTTTTCAGTTTCTATTGCTCCTTCATGCACAAAGACCCAACCAGATAAGATTCAGGATGCTAACTTGTGATGATGGTTAGGGGAAAAAACAAAGAAACGAAAACCATCAAGCTAAAGGTAAGAGGCATAAACAGCACAGAGAGCTATTTCCCACAGGACATAGCTGTTCTGGCTCCAGCACACAGAATGGAATCCCAATTACAGGCAGGACAATGTCTTTGAAGTCTTAATCTCTGCCACACATCCACCTCTGCATTAGAGAAGGGATTGGCAGCTATAATGTGAGTGCAATGGCACTGAGAGAGGCATCATTAGGAGGCAGCCAACATCAGCTTCTGGCTCCCAAACCAGATGCTGTTGATGTTCTATACAGCATTTAAATTTCATGAATTTCCACTAGCACATACGCAATCGAACTTGGAAAAGAAAACTAGAAACAAGGTAGTCCTCTGTCTGATCTATGTCTTATAGGTCACTGAATAAGGTTAGGAAATATTGGGAGAGATCCTGAAATACAGAGAGCTTATACATGAAATAAAGTAGAACTGTTCCTATCTGAAATATTTGTAACAAAGAACTTCAGTAAGGAGAAAATACATACACAGAGGTGCACGCACATGTAGAAGAGTATGCAAAACAAATTTAGGTGATAGGTTAAAAATGTTTCTCCTGTCTGCACAGTTTGTTCATCAAATTTATATCCCCTATGAAACAGTGAAATAGCTACTCTGACACACATGGTCTTGCTAAAGCTGCAAAAGTGGGTTTTTACCCACCAGCTTAGGAAAAATATACTCTTTTTCTCTAGTCATTCTCTGGCAAAGTGAAGTATATCTAATTTTGTTAAATTCCAAAACGTACTGTACACCAAAGTACTTGTAGGTGTTAAAGGAGAATGTCAAGGATGAGTCAAAGATTAATACCTAAATTATAAAGTGTGAAATGGGAATCACAGTCTTAAATATCATGTTAAGAACTAGGAAGTATTTACCTAGTCTAAAGCACTATTGCATTGTAATAGGCAAAATGCTATTCCTTTTAGTTATAGGGGATTCTTTAATAGTTCCATGCTTGAGCAGGAGGATGTATAGGATGGAGTGGTAATTTCATGAGACCTTTACAAATTTCAACAGAACTCTTATTCATTACAGCACTCACTTGAGTATAAGGCTATACTTCAGTCATACCTACTTCCACTCTTCTGCAGAACAAGGATGAATTTAGGTGCTTAGAATAATAGATGCTTGACTAGTTTATTTCCTTCAAACATACAGCTTCTTCCATTACTGCACTGTAAGATTTGTAAGAACAAATCAAAGAAGTTTTCTGCTTTCACCAATCTGCCCCTTCAGTTAGCTCATTGTCATGGTGTTTATCCGTCTTCACACAGCTTTCTTTTGCTTTCTTATTAAAAAAAAAAAAAAAGGAAAGAAAAAAATAACATGCCTACCTTACCAGTGGTCTTAACAAATAAAAAAAAAAAGAACCAATTCCTATGTGATGCTGTCATTGTTTCCTGCTTTCTCATTTTCACCTTTTGCCTCTTACATTTAATTGTCAGCTCTGTGGCAGGGCCACTTTTTTTCCTGTGTGCATGCAGTCCTACAAACATACATGGAGCATTTAGGTACTTTGTTGAAAAAGCCCAATAAATAGAGCATAAAAGATTAAAGTTTTAATTGGCTTATTATTTTCTCACTGCCATAAAGCACAATATCTGGTAAAGGTCCAAGGATATTTTTTTTTTAAAACACAGTTGAGGAGACGGTGATGATACCTCACCTGATTCATAGGCTAACACCTGGAAGCGATTCTAGCAACACTGAAACCCAAGTTTTAGCTGCTTCTTGAAGCCTTATGAGCTAACTTCTGGTTTAGTAATTAGTGCCCAGTGAGTCCAGTGCTGCTCAAACCACATACTTCAGCAACTGATACTTTGCACTGCTCATTAGTTGCGGACAAATAGGATACAAAAATAAAACTTTGAGAAACAGACTTAAATAGATTTGTCTATTGGTTATGGAGAACCCTGCCAAAAAGTGATTTTATTATAAAGACAAGTAAGTTCATCAGTGAAATAGTTCCATAGACCAGACTTCTGAAACCCCTGCTTTTTTACCAGTTAAAAATACTGAATAGCTATGCACAACTTATTTTTAGTAGAATCTACTAACCACCATTTCTTGACATTAGCCAGCTCACACTCACTGTAGTCCGAAGTAACCATTTCCTATTTTAACATTTTCAGCAATGTTCAAATGTTATACTTTACTGTTAGTCCTCTTCTTATCAGAACATAATTGCTAAACATGGTAACCAGAAATAACAGAGGAGAAAACTACAGGTAACTTACTGTCATTGTGTTTTCCGTAAATCCGTGATAAAGTCAGGACTATGTTTATGGTAGAAGGCCCACAGTTTCCTTCAAACAGGTTTTTCTCTGTAGTCTGTCTTGTTTTCTTTCTAGCTATTTCTTATATTATGGAGACTCAGGCATTTATTTTAATGCAACTCACTTCATCTAGTATGTGGATGGGTCAGATAAATAGTCCACTAAATACAATTCTATGGCCCAGACCTCTGCTATAAAGACTGGAAAAGTGACTAAACAAATGGAACCAGTACTCAGTGCACATAAATGAAATGCAAAAAATAAAGTTAGTTTAATGCCCGTAATGATGCAGACTGATGCATAAAATACAGAATATTTACAAGAGTCCTGGCAAAGGAAGGTGTTGCAACTCTATAAACTTTGAGACGTAAAAACTTACATTGTCAGTCCACGTAAGTTTTGCTATGATTTGATTAATCAGCCTAGTATATCTCTCCATCAGTGCACTTGTTGATGAGTATGATAATCAGTCTTAATAAAACCTGGTAGAACAAGCACTGTATTACAGAACAGAATCACTGTGGTTGAGTAATCTAATGACAGCAGCAGAGATGGTCACTAATTTAATTGTTGTGATTCTGCATTAAGCCTATGCCATAGTCATCGCTGAGCATCTCACAAAAAAGCCAATTCATGGTATAACATTCCTAGGAAATAATGAGGTAGCACCTATGTAATTACAAGAGCTTGAATATTGTTTTTGTGGTTGTGACAACTACAAGCTCATAAATGCTGTCAAAGCCTGTCAACATCTTACTGAGGGGGTAATCCACAGTGAGAACTAAAGAAAATGAAGTTTCTCAAGGTATATTCAGGTGTTGCACTAAACGGTGGCAAAATAGATTCACCAATATGAACAATCATGTTGAAAGGAGAATTTTTCAAAATCTCTATGGCTAATTTCAATTTTATTGTTTTCAGATAAAGGAAGGAGGTTGAAACCCCAAGTAGCTAAAAAAGAACACAGACTGGAATTTAATGTTAGTAGTTATATTTCCACAGCAGTGTCAAGGGAACCTTTCATCTGTGAAAGAGGTCAAAGTCACTAAGATAAAAATTTCAACCTGTGAGAAATTCCTGGATAAAGAGTGACAGAAATTACTCCTGCTGAAATCTTCTGAATTAGAAAGTCACGCTGTGAAACAATTAGGTTGATTAACTTCATGTGAAGTGTGGCTTCTAGTAAGATTTAGAGACAACAAAATGTACCTGTATCATAAAAAATGCCCATAATAAACATCCAGACGGAAGACCTTTAGCCCAATTTTTGTGTCTGTAAGTAGAAAATGCAAGAGAGCTCCCAAGCTAGCAGAACTGCAAGGGAATTCACAGGCCCTTTCAGATATAGGCTCTCAGAAATACATAATTATCTACGTGAATGTGTGCATCTTGTGAGCTGATCCTCCTCTTTAGGCAGACCCATACTGAAGCAGGGGCAGACCTACTCTAATGAAGTAGCAGTTCACTTTACTTTTCAGCTTTAGCTATGTCATGTAGGGAAATTTGTTGTTCATCTACAGCAAGCATATTTGTAAATGGGCCTACCATTTTTAGTAACAGGGGAAAAAAGAAGCAGACTGGGATTTTATACCTGAGAATTTTGTGTGACTGTATTTGCCTCCTTTTTTCCTAGCCTCAAAATACTAAGGCTGGCAAACTGAGACAAAACTTCAGACGAGTATTCACAGTGTCATATGAAAACCCATTTTGGCAATAAAAGAACAATATACCTGACAGCCGTTAGTAAAAGGTTACCTCTGCTGGTAACTCTCAATATGTTTGGAGTAGTTAATTAACCCTTAGGACAGGACTTCTGGACCTGACTTTTTAAAGCACAGATCTTCGAGAATTGAGTATCTAATTTACCCTGCCTCTTCTTTTTGCCTTTCTGCTTCCTTTTTAACATGCTCTCATTAAGTCACCCATTTTCTGTTGCCAATAAACAGATGAGCACGGGTCTGTTTCAGATGATTTGACATGTTAAAAAGAAGAAGAAAGTGTTACTAGACTGCTTCTAGTAACAGAAAATTTGATTTTTTTGGTCACGAATCAAAAGCAAAAACAAGTATTAAAAAAGGTGAAACACAATTTCCAGTATCTCATGCTCTGATGAAACAAAAACAAAGTTCAGAGAATGCTAGACATGGATGACCTGAAAGAAAACAGCAAAGAGAACATAAAAATAAAAGTGGATAGAGTTCATGTTAATCACAATCAAAATCTGAAAAAAAGATCTGTGGTTTAAGTACATCTCAGTTTTTGTATTTAGTTATAGAAACGGATCTATTACTGGAGTGGCACTCTTGATGTGCTTTGGAATAACAGGGGAGGAACAGAACCAGAGAGGATTAAATGCATTTCATTTCCCTGACTCTGAGTTTGGGCTACGTATTTCGTAAGTGCATTTTGGCCTGAAAAATATATTAGTACCTGGAAACATATTGCCATTTTTTAAAGTCTTCTT